CTCCCGGCCGCGGCCGCCGACCCCGGCCCCGGCCCGGCCCTATGGACAGGAGCTCGCTGCTGCAGCTCATCCAGGAGCAGGTGAGTGACGGGTGGGGGGCCTGGCACCGCCCCCGACGCGGCCCTCCTGACGCTGGGCTGGGCTTCGGGGCGGGGGGGAGGGAGGGGACTGAGCTCCCAGAAAGACCTCCCTTGGTGCCCACCCCTCAAGTCCCCTCCATGCACGACCTTGGCCCCTGTACCCGAGACCCCAGGAGAGGGCTGGCTGTACCAAGGCTATTTGGGGAGGAGGGAGGGAGGGAGATTGTCCTCAGATCTTGGCTGGCCCCTTTCTGGATGAGAAGGGTGGAAATGGGGTGGGGAGTGCACTAGAGAGCGGAGGAGGTGGAGGCCTGGGACCCAAGCACCGGCATCCTGGCACTTCCCGGGACCAAGTGGAGTCCAGGAACCAGGTGGGCAGAGGAACCTGGTCCAGCCCTATGGTCTGGGGGTGGGGCCTGCCCTCAGGCCTTGGCCAGCGGCTCCCCAACCCCAGCAGCTGGACCCTGAGAACACAGGCTTCATCGGTGCAGACACCTTCACTGGCCTGGTGCACAGCCATGAGCTGCCCCTGGACCCAGCCAAGTTGGACATGTTGGTGGCCCTGGCCCAGAGCAACGAGCGGGGCCAGGTCTGCTACCAGGAGCTGGTGGACCTGGTCAGTGCCATGGTGGGTGGGCAGCAGGGGTGGGGCCCAGGCATAGGCAGGCACAGTTCCCTGACTGGAGGGGGGGTGGGTGGGTGCCCCTCTCACTGGGGAGGGCTTGTGGATGTGGGACTGGGACCCTGGGAGGACCTGGGTGGGCCATGTGGCAGGGTGACATGGGGGAAAAACTGTGGCCCATGCTCAGGCTCCTGCCCCCCAGATCAGCAGCAAGCGCTCCAGCAGCTTCAAGCGGGCCATTGCTAATGGACAGCGGGCGCTGCCCCGGGACGGGCTGCTGGACGAGCCGGGCCTGGGTGTTTACAAGCGGTTCGTGCGCTATGTGGCCTACGAGATCCTGCCCTGTGAAGTGGACCGCCGCTGGTACTTCTACCGGCACCGCAGCTGCCCACCCCCTGTGTTCATGGCCTCGGTCACCCTCGCCCAGGTGGGCTTGCCCACCTGCTGCCCTGGTAGTCTCCTGTGTTCCTGGCTTTGACCCCTAACACTCGTGTCCCCAGATCATCGTGTTCCTGTGCTATGGGGCTCGCCTCAACAAGTGGGTGCTGCAGACCTATCACCCCGAGTACATGAAGAGCCCCCTCGTGTACCACCCTGGGCACCGTGCTCGGGCCTGGCGCTTCCTCACCTACATGTTCATGCATGTCGGGTGAGTGGGGCTGCTGGCTCGCCGAGCCCACCTCTGAGCACCCCACTGATTATATCAGGAAAGCTCAGCGCAGGGGGGAGGTGCAGCAACTTGAGGCAGGGGGTGGGGGGTGCCGGGAGGAGGCCGGCCACATAGCTGACCCCAGCCCTTGTGCCCATCTGTCCCCCTGCGGCCAGGCTGGAGCAGCTGGGGTTCAATGCCCTCCTGCAGCTGATGATCGGGGTACCCCTGGAGATGGTGCACGGTGTGCTTCGCATCAGCCTGCTCTACCTGGCAGGTGTGCTCGCAGGTGAGGCCGGTGCGCATCCCTGCCCTCCTCACTGGCCTGCCATGCCCTAACCCCTCTCTTCGCTCACACAGGCTCCCTGACTGTCTCCATTACCGACATGCGGGCCCCTGTGGTAGGGGGCTCCGGCGGGGTCTATGCCCTGTGCTCTGCACACCTGGCCAACGTTGTCATGGTAACGGGGCCGCCCGGTGGGGGTGGGGAGGGGCCCACCTGGCGTGCCTTACGGCCTCTCTGTCTACGTGCCCCCCAGAACTGGGCTGGGATGAGATGCCCCTACAAGTTGCTGAGGATGGTGCTGGCCCTGGTGTGCAGTGAGTAGGGGCCGGTGGGGGGTTGGGGGGCCTCAGCCAGGCAGCCAGGGCGCCTCCCACCTGCCGCCTCCTTCCGCAGTGAGCTCCGAGGTGGGCCGGGCCGTGTGGCTACGCTTCTCCCCGCCACTGCCCTCGTCAGGCCCGCAGCCCAGCTTCATGGCACACCTGGCTGGCGCGGTGGTGGGGGTGAGCATGGGCCTGACTATCCTGCGCAGCTATGAGGAGCGCCTGCAGGACCAGTGTGGCTGGTGGGTGGTGTTGCTGGCATACGGCACCTTCCTGTTGTTCGCCATCTTCTGGAACATCTTTGCCTACGACCTGCTGGGTGCCCATATCCCCCCACCACCCTGACTGCCTCCTCTGGACCACTGGGGTCAGGGCCAGCTGCCCACTGGGCCTGCATGTCTGCCCTCCATGGAGAAACGTCTCAGGGCTGCTTCTCCCCATGGGGGCGGGTGGCCCCTGTGGTCCACTGAGTTCAGGCCAAGCCTTACTCCAGCCCTGACCACCCCTCCCAGGGCTGCTGGGCCAGGGTTGGGTAAGTTGCCCCAGAGACCTTGCCCTGCCCACCCCACCTCCAGGACTTGCGGTCTGAGCCTTTTTGGAGAATGAATAAATATTTTACGCGGCACTTGGTGGCTGTCCTGTGGCTCTAGAGGCTTTTCTACCACCTCCATCACCTGCTGAGCAGACCCCCTCCTCACCATGATGAAAGCCAGGCTTCCTTGCATCTCTACACCTGGTGTGAGGCACAATGGCCAAGGACCGTGTGTCTGTGTGGGAATTGGGGACCCCTGGGGAGGGGTTGTGGGCCCCCTAGTCATGCGTGAGTTCAGTGAGCATTTATTGAGCTCCGATAGCGGCCACCACCATCCCATTCAGTCAGCCTGTCGCTCAGAGACCCAAGGCCTGAGGTTGCATGGCAGGTGAGCAAGCCTGGAGCCACACACAGCCAGGTTCACTCAGCCTGGGTCCTGTGCTTCTTGGCCAGCCTAGTGTCCTCGTGGGTGACTGGGCTGAGGCCGAGGTCTAGCGACAGGTCTGGGCACAACTTGTGCCCCACTGCCCAGGTCCATGGCGCTGTCTGCACAAGGTGAGGGGTCCATAGTCCAAAAGCACTGGCTAAGGACGGGAACAAGCAGTCACCAACAACTAAGGTGGGTTGGCCACCCCATCCTGACTAGGGTCCTAGACACCTTCCTGCCACCAACAGTTTGCTCGCCTTGGCTCAGGGCTGTGGCGCGCTCTCGCCCAGGTGCAGCTGGTAGTGCTTGAGGGTGTCCTGCAGGGTGGGCAGGTTGATACTGTGGGAGGCGAAGGGGCAGCCCTTAGTCCCCGCCAGCCCGGGACAGCCTCTTGGAGAACCTGCCTTGGGATGCCCAAGATCGTGCCCAGGGCGCCTAGAGTCCAGCTGCGTGAACACGGACATCCGCCCATTTCACAGGCGAGGACGCGCCCACCGACTCACCGAGAGCCCCGTGCCTGCGGCTCGCACGTCGGGCATGCGGGCGAGGCAGGTCCCACCCCATCCCCTCTGAGCAAGCCCGGCCTCGCCCCGCGGGCCCCCCTCACGCCAGCTCCGCCCGGGTCACGCGCCTGACCGCGCGTCCCCGACGGCCGCGGGTAGTTCCCGATACCCGGGGAAGGGCGATGAGGAGCGTAGGACCACCGGGAGGCCCAGCCACCGACGCCTCACCCCTGCCGCCCTGCCGGCGGTCCAAGGCTTCCAGCCGTGCCCAGGGGCCCGCGCGGGTCCAAAGCACTTGTCCGCGGCACCTCTCGGTGGCGAGCCAGAAAGGCCTCAGCGGCCCGGGTCCTCGTAGCCTCACAGCCCGCGGGGCGGGGCCCCGAGCGTGGGGGGCGGGGCCTCGGCTGGCAGAGGAAGGCTGAGCGTGGGGCGGGGTCTCGGCTGAAAGAAAGCTGAGCGCTGGGGGCGGAGCCCTGAGCGCGCGGCGGGCCTTCGGCTGGTAGGGGAAGGCAGAGCGCGGGGCGGGGCCCTGAGCGAGGGGCGGGACCTCGACTGGCAGCGGGAGGTTGAGAGCGGGGGGCGGCTGCCGCGATCAGTTTTTGCGGGGCTCGGCGGGGCGGGGCCGAGCCTTTGGGAACGAAGACCCGGGCGACCCCCTGACTTCCGACGTCTCCAGTTCCGTCGCTCCGCCTCGGGTTGCGTTCGCCTGCCGTGTCCCTCCGCGGTCCCGCACGCACCGGAATTTCCGGCGTCGCGTCGCGGGCGCGGCCCGGGCGGATCGCGGGCGCGGAACCCGGGAGTGAAGCCCAGGCCGGGCCGCGCGGCGCCATGAAGGGCAAGGAGGAGAAGGAGGGTGGCGCGCGGCTTGGCGCCGGCGGCGGCAGCCCCGAGAAGAGCCCGAGCGCGCAGGAGCTCAAAGAGCAGGGCAACCGGCTCTTCGTGGGCCGCAAGTACCCGGAGGCGGCGGCCTGCTACGGCCGCGCCATCGTGAGTGCGCCCGCGTCGGGGGGTTGGCGCTGGCGACGGGGAGGAGGCGGGGCTCCGGTTTCTGCCCGCGTGCACCCACGGCCCCTGCCTGGCGGCCCCGCCGTCTCCAAAAGGGCCTAGGCCGGGGCTCTCGAGCCCAGCGTTGGTTGCCGAAGAACCGGCGGGTGGGGAGCTCGATTGAGGCTGCCTGGTTTGGAGGCCGGGGCCCCTTGCTCCTTGAGGTCTCCAGGCCCAAAGCGGGGTATCTCCACAGATTTGAGAAACTTACTTTTACAAACCAATTGGGGTCAAGAGGGTGGGCTCAGCCACAACTCAGGGCCAGGACCCCACCCTCTGCGGATCCTCGGAACCCAGAGCTTTGACAACTGAGAAACCTCTAGTTTCCTGATTTTGGCTACGGGCACCAAAGCTGGGACAGAACCTGGGACATCGGGGTGTCATCTGGCTGGGACCGGGTGGGGGGCAATCTGGGTCCACATCCTTATGCTGGCTGGCCCGGCCTTGATCCCCAGACCCGGAACCCTTTGGTGGCTGTGTATTACACCAATCGGGCCCTGTGCTACCTGAAGATGCAGCAGCACGAGCAGGCACTGGCTGACTGCCGGCGCGCCCTGGAGCTGGACGGGCAGTCCGTGAAGGCACACTTCTTCCTGGGGCAGTGCCAGCTGGAGATGGAGAGCTATGATGAGGCCATCGCCAACCTGCAGCGAGGTGGGCCCACACATTGCCTGCGATAGGGGTGCCTGGGATCAGGCGGGTGGACCAGCCTGACGGTGACCTGAAGCATCCGTTTCCCCAGCCTACAGCCTGGCCAAGGAGCAGCGGCTCAACTTTGGGGACGACATCCCCAGTGCCCTGCGCATTGCTAAGAAGAAACGCTGGAACAGTATCGAGGAGCGGCGCATCCACCAGGAGAGCGAGCTGCACTCCTACCTCACGAGGCTCATTGCAGCGGAGCGAGAGAGGTGGGCCCCTCCCCTCTCTAGGCCACACTCTCTTGGGTCAACTCTGAGTCACCAACACAAGTGTTTATTGAAGGCCAACACTGGCCAACAGAAAATTGAGGGAGAAGAGGCCTGAACATTAGCCTTGAGGCTGGGGTGGGGCCTAACATCTGGCCAGGTCCATCTCTGACCAGCTCCTGGTCAACCTCCAGGGAGCTGGAAGAGTGCCAGCGGAACCACGAGGGTGACGAGGACGATAGCCATGTCCGGGCCCAGCAGGCCTGCATCGAGGCCAAGCACGTGAGGGTGCCCCTGGCCCACATGTGGGTCTCTGTGTGTGTCTGTGATGTGAGGGTGCCCCCAGCCTGCCTGTGTGTCTGTGTGTGACATGAGGGTGCCCCGGCCCATGTTGGGTCTGTGTATGGAGAAGGGAGATGGGGTGTCCCACCCATGTGTAGTGCTCAATTTTTGTAGGACAAGTATATGGCGGACATGGATGAGCTCTTCTCTCAGGTGGATGAGAAGAGAAAGGTGAGTGTCTACTCCCTGAAGCAGCCTGTGGGTTTCAGGCTGGGGCAGTGTTCTTTTCCTGGTCCCTGACCCTGTCCCTGTTTGCCACAGAAGCGAGACATACCTGACTACCTGTGTGGTAAGATCAGCTTTGAGCTGATGCGTGAGCCCTGCATCACACCAAGTGGCATCACCTATGACCGCAAGGACATCGAGGAGCACCTGCAGGTGAGGGCCCATGGGAGCAGGACCAACAGTGTGGCCTTGGGCCCACTGAATGCCCTCTAATCCTGTTATCACTACAGCGTGTGGGCCACTTTGACCCTGTGACTCGGAGCCCCCTAACACAGGAACAGCTCATCCCCAACCTGGCCATGAAGGAGGTCATCGATGCATTCATCTCTGAAAACGGCTGGGTGGAGGACTACTGAGCCCCTGCCCCCAATCCTGGTATGCCCAGTGCCCTGGCCCAGGAGGGCACTGGGGTAGAAGCCCCCAATTCCTGTACATAGTCTGTCCCTGGGCCCCACCCCTTCAGTTCTGCTATTGGGCTGTGGACTGCTCCCCATCTCAGCATAGCCCTTGCTGGGCTACGGGCCTCCCCTGTTCCCCCTGAGCTGGAAAAGCAGGTGAGGGTGGGTTGGACTGAAGCTGCTGCTGCCACCACTGTCCCTATAATAAAGTCTGTGAGTGCTACATGGACATGTGCTGGTATGTGACAGGCTTGCCAGCCGCTTGCTCTGGCTAGCCGAGAAAGGTAGAGATGAAGACACTGGTGTCGAGGTTGAGCGTTGCGTGCCACCAGCGGTCAGGAAAATACAGCACCTGGCACAGAAGGGGGTGGGGCATAGGGGTTAGCTGGGGGCCCTTTGGTTTGGCCTGGCTCCCTCCTGCCAGCCACTGACCTCACCAGGCCGGATTGTACACTCCAAGGGCCGTGCAGATGGCGCCAGGGCTGGGTACGTGTCCTGGAGCCAGGCCAGCGTGGTCTTGTTGGGGTGGAACTGTGGTGTCTTCTCAGGTGGGTAGAGAAACCAACGCTGGGGGTATGAGCAGCAAGGTCACTTTGTGTGTTGTGGTCAGTGAGCCCCAAGCCTCAGCCCCCACCCTGTGCTGACCTTACGGCCATAGATCACCTCCGAGTAACCTGGTCCATGCCAGTGGAAGGGCACCCCAGAGCCGGCTCCTGCGGGGTCAGTCATAAACAGCTGGTGACTAAACCTAATCTGCAGCCTCCAAACCCTCAGGTCCCGAGTAGCACTCACCTGCAATTCCAAAGCTGTAAGCAGGAGCAGTACCTAGTAGACCAAATGGAGGTGGGGAGTAGTGCCGAAAAAGTGATGCCCATTCAGTGAAGTTGTTGTCCCCGAAGAAGTACAGGGTATCTGCCAGCAGAGACAACAAGAACCAGGGATCCTGGCACCTGGAGACTCCCAAGTGCCCCCACCCCCACTGCTGCCCAGGTTTGGCTCACCATTGCCCAGGGAGGAGGGATCCTGAGGATGCAGCAGCTGCTCCACATATTCCTGGAAGGGCAGATCCACTGCAAGGAAAGGGCTGGTCAGGACTGGCTGGTCCTGCCTGCCTTCAAGATGCTGGCAAGAAGATGGGGCAGCTCACCTTTCTGGTAGGAGTAGGTGTTGGCAGTGCTCAGTCGGACCACGCTGTCCCCAAACGAGGCCAGCAGCCTTTCGCGGGAACACAGGGCCCGGAACTTCTGCGGAGGTGGGCAGAAGCTTAGTGGTGGGGCGCAGCACAGGCGAGAGTTGCCCTGGCCGGGCGAGCACTCACCCAGTTGTCCGTGAGCCCCGGCAAAATGACAGGCCTCAGGAAGGCGTAACTAGAAGGAAAGGCAGAACAATCGCAGCCCGCCCCAACCCCGCCGCCACGCGTCCGCTCGAAGTGGTGGGCGGGTGGCCTCGGCAGGTCCCGACAGACGGGCCGATAAACCAAGGCGTGACACGGACGGTCAAACGGGTCCGAGCCTCAGGGGCGGGACCGAGGCAGCTGTAGATTCGGGGCGCGGGCGCGGCCGGCACGGGAGGGAGCACGTACTGCTGCACGAACTCGGCGTAGCTGAGGTCGCTTCGGCGCTCTATGGTGCAGCGGTCCTCCTCCGCCAAGGCCGCCAGCGCCCCCGGCCCCCC